AACTGCACTTTTGTAGACTTGACATGAATTTCATAACCCACTGATAAGCGAAAATGACGTAATACGAATAAATTTACTGTGAACAGTACTTTCCAACAGCTGACCATCAAACGTATTCAAATATCTGAATCAACAAAATATGCCACAGATTGGTGAAAACACGCTGGACTATGATTTCTAGAGAACAGCATTCCGTGTACGTTCTCAATAACTGTTATGCTAGACTAAAGGCAAAGAGTCTTCCAGGCGACATAACATGCATAAAAGAGAACAAAATGTAAGCATGAAAACCCATCAAATAGTTTCATATAAGAAGGTGGTCTCTGGATAGATTACTCCGAGTATTCTATGGGGCTTTCACTCGTAGAAACGCTGTTTTGTGCAGCTGAAGGTAGGTCTACAACACGGTTGTCTGTAGAGCAGATGGGCGCATGCTTTGCGTTACAACAATATGCTTCCGCTGTTCCTGTCAGCCTTATTCTTATCCAGAAGACAGCAGGTGGATAAATGGACTTCTTTTTAGATGTCACAATTCATGGCTCCACCCAGTGCTTCTTAATGCTTGTTGATGATTGTGTGTGAATGACTGCTATCAAATAGACATTTTCAACAACTAACGGTTCTTCTTCTCAAACCTTCTCTGGTTCGATGAATGTCACATGTTTGGTTCTATCAAAGTACATTGACTAAACTTAGGTCGACAGCGAATTCCGTCAACAGATATGCTTTAGAGTGGGTCCTTTCTACAAGCAGTTATTTTGATGGAAAGTAATTTTGACTTCTGACTGCCTTTTACGAAAAAATGGCTGGTGGGTTATCTGTTCAGTAAACAATTTTGACACCGTTATCTCACTTTTTGAATGATGTACCCGAATTGTTACTTTGCATCATGCAGAACTGCCATTACCATTGAAGTGGTGTTATTCTCATCATGAACTGAAAATGCAGCACACGTGATTTAAGGAAGCTACTGTCAAGTTGAGATGTGTGTAGCGCGAAACATTTGGGTGCATTTCTGAACCATGTGAACGAGACTTATTTCACAGTTGTGAGGTGAATATATTTCATTCATGTCTAGAGAGCGGTGTTGGCTTAGCTTTGATGTTTATGACTACTCTACTGATCGTTTTCGCTTCCAACCTTTTCCAGATATTTCAGCACACAGCACTGAATGTCGGCTGATATTTGTATATTCGCACATCCATTCAGTGTTTGAAACTGACCTGATGCAAAGCATATCTATTTCACACTATATTGACTTACTCTAAGCTAAATGTATGGGTTACCAACAAAATTGTCTACTGGCAGTTGACAGATTACTATCAGTTGTTGAATATTTTCAACTGATTCCGACCAACCGGTCGCACTGACGAGCATTTCTACGAGGATTTTGCAATGGATGGTCATGAGGTTTGCTTCATTTGCGAGTAAGTTCTTAGTAGGGTCAATGTCAAAACTTCTTGGTGGACAACAGCTTTCCTTTCCACAATTTTTCGCCTTATCTCATATGTTTCACCTCTAGTAAATGGATATGTGGACGTGTCAATCACCAATTCAGCATAATTATGTTGCAACGTGCTGATTTATAATATCATTTTAAGGGAAAACCGCCGAGTTTCTCCTTTGAAACATGTCAGTAAGACGTCACATTTCACGAATCGTTATGATACTATTCTTCAGGCTGTCTGCTTCTACACTGGTAACACCACTTTGTAGTTGCGTCGGGCTGTTGAACTGCCCAACTCTCCTATTAGATCCGATCAGAATGATATACATTTCATTAGTGATAGTGCAGTACAGATTTGTCAGCCTGCTATTTGCTTTCAGTGGCCTAACATGTACACATATACACACTCAGGTGTAAACTGAATCAATCTATATTTCCAGTCGACACCTGCTAAAAACTTGCAATCAACTAAATATGTCACCCTTTAAAAACAAGGGAGTGGCATTCTTGATATTTTGATTATTTTTGGGTGTTTGTTACACACACGTCTACCATGAGCTGTTCTATGCTAAGCGGATTTGCTTGTAGCTACAACGGGACTAAAAGTGGTATTTTAGTGAAAATTTGGTGAAATTATATCCCAGGGTGATTCACATTTCTGATTGTTTGTGTTTTATTCATATCATGGTGGAAGACTTTCGACTCTCTTTCATTGATCCATGTAGGTTAGAAACCGACTTTCTTCCCAATCAATTCTCTCGCATATATATTAATAATCAGTTATTAGAGTTGTTTGCTTATAGTTGAGAGAACGTGGTACGTGACAGAAACATTAGCTGTCCTTGGAGAGAGTAGAATGTGATGTGATGAATGAAAGAAGTCGCATCAAACTCATTCATTTCGGCTACGGTACACTCAGTTGAAATATATTGGCTTTTAAAACTGAATATCAAAGTTACTCTGCTTTCTGAATCTTTGAATATAGTTTCAGAGTCTAATATTTCATGTTTTCATCTGCTGAATCACTTTGATTTTGTCTCGATATAGTAACTCATTTCCAACTTCTTATCACTTTACGTGAATAACGTTCCTTTGTGAAGCTTGTCCAACTGGTTTACGGCTCGAATAATATAGCTTGGTGTTATATTAATGGGTTACTGGAGAGCAATCAATTTCATGTTGTCTATTCTTGAGAGCTGACTAGATTCTACCGATCACTATACAATGTCGCCAACAAGCGCTGCATTTTGATGGATGTCAGTTAGTTGAAAGCAGTCGACAGGAAGCTCTAAACCTAGGCTTCGTACTTGTTACCCACTGTGAGCAGAGCATTCTTGCGGCCACGGGTGAAGTGATGCCCTCTATGAAAATGGAACTCGCGTCAACCAGGAGGTAAGTCGTGGCCCGAATAGCTCAGTGGTAATGTCGCTGATAACAACACTGGACTATTGAGGTTCGTATCTCAGAGCTGACATGGGTTCCATAGCAGATGTAAGTACACCTCGCTGACGACTGTGAACAAGCACGAAACGTAGATTTAAGAGATTTCTGCTAATCACCTCCAGCTAACTAACATAGCTTAATATTCTCAATGTTTAAAGAAAACTGCCACTGACATTTTCCAAATAAACATTAACCTACAGCACATTTAGCCGATCAAGATTCTTAAAATTCGTACTCAAAATAAAAGTACGTTCATGACAGCAAATAAAGATTGAACTTCACCATGAAAACATTCCTTGCTTACGAGAAACTGGTATCTCTATTGAGTTAACTGAATTGTTTTACAGTCTTCTCATACTACAGCAATTATTTATTACTAGAAGGAAATTAAAAGAGGTTTCAGATTAATATTTACTCAGTACTTTAAATTGATTATACCTATTATATGATATATATATCTTAGCATGAAGATTTGAGGTTATGAAACTGTTGTTCGGAAAGCGTAGTACTATATTGATTAGTGATTTCTGCATGTCCTTAAAACAGTATGACCCCACCATATGTTCTCGAGTAAAATACATCACTGATATTCTTTACTATTTCTTACCATAACACAATTTTAAGGCCTACAATATAAGTACATTTCAAACTATTAAAAGAAGAGCTCTCAAATACATTATTTTCACTTAGTTCACAGATATATCACACTCATAAAACAGTTTGAGTAGATTAACTATCTGATCTACTCATACTCATATTCTCTGTCGACTGGCACCGTTTCTAGAACGGCAGGGTAATGAACAAAACATGAAGCTTCAAAGAGTTTATAAAAACATCTTCAATCTTTTCATCCTATCAAAATGATGAGTGGATTTAACCAAATAAATATATTCTATGCTGTTATCGAATGACTGAATACAAGACTAAAACTGATAAAGTTCTAACCAACCAGGAAATACTGGTACACAAACAGTTTTTACATTTCTGCTGGCAAAATTTCAAACTCTCTTCCTTTTATATTCTTCGCTCAACTTAAGGTTATCGATTCTATGAGCGATCCAATGATATGCTTGGCTAGCATTTCCATATTTTCATTGACATCCGTTTTTCAAATATAAAATGTTTTTAAGTGAGTGTGTGTATGTGTGAAACAATATCATCAGCACAGACTTTAGAAACCAGTGGACTATACGAATTTATATATTTGCAATATTCCAGTGATTGTAATAATTTCATGCAGTTTTTTGTTATGCTTTGTTCTTCTTTATTACTTAAGAGGCTGCTAATTCTATTTACTGCACTGATATATGTGAATAACGCGTAAAACTAAATTCACAATGTGCGCTTTAGAGAATTTTTCTTACTCCTTTACAAAATCAGTGCAACCACTGATATTCAACACTTCTCAGTGTTGTCAACCTTTATTTGTGCAGTTAGAACTCCACTCTGAACCTTCAGACGTAATCTCTCCTACCTATGATAACTGATATTTACAGATGAGTGTTAGCAGCATGTTCTTCTGTACATAAGAACAACTGGAGCGAATGATATAGTATATTTGTGGCTCCTGATAGTGATGTGCAGGGGGAGGGAATTGACCTGAACGGCTACCGAAATTCAGGTGAACCTTTTCAACTGAGGACAAGATGAACCAATATGAAGGCTATAGCTATTCACGTATTCTGCTCACTTCGCTAACTTACCATACAATATTTTAATTTGTACCATAATTTTTACCACCAGAAATCATTTTTAGAAATAGGTGAAGTTTCGGGGAGTAAAACTAATACATTATAAGAGCAGGTGGTTCATCAATCGGACCCATTTCTGAAAATCAGCGGACGTAAACCACTTTTCGAAATGCACAACTATTGATTAAACATGTTTATCACACGTATGTAACATATTCCTATTTTTAATTGAACAGTTTAGTCTTCAGAGCTTTAAAATGATCAGATAACTCGAACAACTTGTCCTACAACACATTTTCAGATGAAAAAATTTTATTCAACAACGCTTTTGTCTTTCTTGAAATTGGAAGTGTAACGATGAAGAGCCGAAGTGACCATAAAGGCATGAAAACGCTTTGTAAACTCATGAAAAGTTATTTATTACCTTCAAAAAGCGAAAATTCTACAACACAAAGTACCAAGACTAGAGGTTTGATTTCATGAATATTAAGTCAAACTTAGAAAACTTTCTCGTACCAATCAGTAAGGCTAACTAAAAATCCTATGTATGTATTTTATTCAACAAACAGTGAATTACACACAATAAATCTGCCAACTGAAGAATGTTTTACTAGCGAGATACCACGCTGTCTAATCATGTCTCATCGTATGTAATTTGAAATAAAACAGGTTTTATTGTAATACATCAAGTAGTATGTTCAAATATTTCACTGGGTAGCTACATCAGCTCCAATGCATTGAATTTTTTAACAATAAACTTCTAATTTAAAAGTAACAGGAATTGGGTTAGGATAAGCTCACATTCAAAGACGTCTGTTCTAACTTAGAAACACGGTCACTGAGGTCGGATTAGTGGGATAAAAAGTAGCCACAATGTAGTCCCCTAGCTTTCAGTTTTAAAATATAAGCAGGAGGCCGGTTACTTTCTAACAACAACTATATATACTAACAAGGATTAACGGAATAATTCATCAGTGTATCTTATTTCTACAGCACTGAATGGTACGATGTTGAATAACTGATAGAGTGAAACGTTATCACAGTATAAGGTGACTGGATGAATGCATCAAATCATAAAAATTATCAATGTTTTATAATTAAAAAAAAAACACTGTGTACAAACAGAAACTGTCATGACAAATTAACAATATTATTATTAATAACAATATATATGTTAGTTATTCATGCATAACATATTGTACAAGTTGTTAGCACATTTTTTCACATGCGATAGTCTTCTTCATACAGAAAAATGGTAACTCTGCGCCTTTCAGCAATCCATCGGTAGCTTTCATGCATGCATCGAAACATGAACGAAATATTGAGAATATGACAAACAGGAATGCACAGAAAAATCCCACTGGCAATGATAACAGAAATACTAAAAACCATGCTACACCCCAGCCAATATCAGGACATTTACATGCCATTGGTAATTAGATATTATTGTATATGCCTCTTTTGTTTCACTTTTTTCCAATTAATTTGATAGAAACTTTGCTGGTAAACATTTAGACTCATCTTACTTTTATAGAGTGCACTATTCGACTGAAGTAGTTTCAATGAATTGGTAAATTTAAACAGCGAATCACAATTTAGCTAAGTGCTTATCATAAGTGTAATATGTGCACACTGTGTAATAGTGAGTTTGTGTATTTTTTCTTTTAGTTATGTGTATGTGTGTTTGTGGTCCACTAATCTTGTTAATTTCAGCCCTAATATTTTATGCATGTTTTGATGATCATCCAGTTTTGATAATTTGATTTGTCTTTTCAGAACAATAATATCGTCTTTCGCAGATAATCAAGAAAAATTTTCAATCTTCTGTTTTACTCCGCTCTCATCTAAAGAGTTTGATAGATGCGATAGCACCGTATTTCTCAAGGATAAAATAGGATCACTTAGAACGCTGAATGTGGCTTGCCTTCTATCCGTTTATTAAACTAATAGTTTACTTTATTGCCATTGACTATGCAACAGAAAACTGTATGCAGTTAAACAATAATGATATTTTAACAGAGATCCCTTATACATCAAAAGGTTTTCGAAGACTACAGTAGAGCATCTAAGGTGCAAAGCCCATCACAATTCAATTTCGGCAGAAATATGCTGACTCCATCCTCCTTAGACTAACCAGAGTTCATCTTACAGAAATCAATCAAATCAAGTTCGAAACACAAGAGCCAATCGTCTGCTTTAATAAACCTACACATTTCAATAGCTTATATTTGATGTTTTGCTGAGTTGTTTCCAAAAAAAATATTGTTAAGAATGCAGTTTGGAGATTGAATATAGCTCCATTCCAAGTACTTGCGAAGTATATTATTGCACTAATGGGGAACGAATGCTTTTTAACTGGTACACAAATTAATTTCAGTAGGAAATTAAATAAGCTCGTAATTCACTTACCTAAGCCCAAAATCGTAACTGCCTCAAATGAAAGATATGCAAAGCTAAATGGTAGCTAGAGGTTTTTATTCAGAAACTTAATAAGTAATATAATGTGAATTCATCTGTTACTTCAAACAAGTAGGTTTGTCTAGAATGATTACACTAAAGCTGTTTAAACAGCCTATGTGATGCAAATACTATTTGGATCCATTTACCTAAAAAGTTTATTCTCCGAAAAAAGAACACATATATGATAAAGAGAAGTGTGTAACGTTGAGACCAGGATCACTTTCGTTAAATGAAAATAAAATCCCTCTACGAAGTGGTCTAGACAAACAATTTACGCTGCCTATAGTATTTCTTTCAAACTTCATTATTGATGCAAAACATTAGTCTACTTTAATTACAAGTTGTAGCATCAAACTAAGCGCATTTCTATAGAAATGGGTATCGTGACTGCGTACCCAATTGGATAATTCTCCAGTGTCTGAGGCGATAGGCTCTGGCTTTGAATCTCAGTAAGAAAAAAGTCACAGGAAGACAGCCATATCCAAGTAATGAATCACAGATAGAATGAAATGCTTGTTGTGGATTCTACTGCTAGCTAATATTCATCATTACTGTCCAATCAGTTAAGAATAAAACTAAGAGGCTAGATAGGTGTTCCTTAAGTTCATCAGAAGAACATTCGGTATCTAAACCTGGTGTAGAATTTTCGCAAAAAATTTCATAGTACCCTAAAATTAGAGTGCAGAGTGAAAATGTCTTAAGCAGACTGATAGTTTTAGTGCTTTTTCATTTGACTCAAGAAATGATGTAGAAGACTGAGTATTCTGTGATTAACTGAGTGTTTATTTTGAATTGGTAAGAGCTGGATAATCCAAACGTTTAGTTACATGTTTGTATGACAATCACAGCTCGATAAATAAATTTATGACCTTTAATTTTAACTTTGCAGTCCAGTTCAAAACTGGCCTATATCTGTCCTAGCACAGTTACACCGTATCATCTGCCCATGACGGTGAAATGACTGTTTTGAGTAGTCAGTGGTGGACTCGGAAGCGACGGTACATGTATTTCTAGATAATCTAAGAGCAGAGTGAGCACTTTTTCTCCTATCTGTTGGTGAATAGACTCCTGGTTAATGATTTGGATATCAACAAGATGTTAAGGTTAAAATCGCAATAGTTGGATTAATAACTGGTAAACTAGACTATTGCTTGGCAGAATTAGCGACAGGGGTTTGCTCCGAATACCATATATTCATCTGTCAACATTCCACTTGCATCCTCTGCGTGGTTGTAGATTACCGACTGTACTGTAAAAGAAGGATTGCACACAAAGTAGCTTTTGATAATTCATAAACACAACACCACGACTATATAAATGGTATTGGAAAATCTGCGAACCTAAAATAATAAACCATGTTCAATGATGCTAAAATTGAACTAATGATGATGGGAAACACGATCCTGACTAAAACTACCTTGGTCAAGGATGCAATTACTCTACATAGACTGTGCTTGATTTTTTTAACTTTAAGGTAAACACATTCATTAAAAGAACAACTCATGGAAGGAAGCTTTATTTAAATCAGATTGACTGTAAAAGCTAATTAAACACTTACTTGATAAAAATATTCTTTTCACGTTAGTAAAAACATTATTCGTACCTAAGTTAAGTAATATTTGTAACCAAGATTTGAAAAAGACCTCCGCAGCTTATTAGGACTATAAAGAATGCATTCAACAGTTAGATCGAGGTTCTGAAATTCAAATGAAGACAATGGTTTTGGTTTATCCTGACGTATTTATTGGCATTATAAACACTGTGGAACAATACAAAATCTATGCTTTACTTGCCATGACAACAATGGCTCAATGAGAGTTTCCGTTTCACAATGCAACAAAGTGTGAATATTCAGAGAATCTTAACTCCTTGCCGGTAAAGCTCACGATTTTTTGTGGTGTATGTGCAAAACATTGTCCAGAAAGGTGCACATCTCCCGTTCGTGCAGATAGCCTATCTACTGGTTAGTTTCTTACTTTATATCGAATAAGCTTTACACTTTTCCAATATTGCCATCTCATGATCGACACAGTTTTACTGGAGTTGGCTCATCGGTTTAGGAAGATAACTTTCAGCTAACTGGTCACGAGTGTGAACACCGTTCCAGTTATCGAGGTTTGGACAAGCCTCACACAATATGTGTGGCTCATTGCCAACCACATGAATTTGCAGAAGGTTGCTCGATGGATTCCCAATCCGATAGTTTTACCGAGGAACTGTGAAAAGTTGAACGATCTGTAGGAACAGTGGAGACACAAATACATGAAATCGAGACTATGGTGTTCCATACATCGATGCTATGCGCAAACTATGGTAAGGTTATATAGTTCAGAGAACACAACGTCATAAAGGCAAGGTCATCATACTGAGTTATAGGTCTAGTAAGCTGTACGTTTTATGGAAAATGTAAATTTTTAACTGAGGCAAATGTTTTGACGTTTGCATCGTTAGCCTGCTTACTCCAAAGTCAGCAACATGTTGCAATTCTGCTGGATATGCAAGATGTGTTTAATGTCTGATAATCAGGTGGAAAAATGAAGTAGTATTGCGTGTTAAATACTAGAAATCGTATCATGTCCAAGTTGTAAGAGTACAGTTTACCAAAGTGTAACACTCAAATAATTAAATTTCTCAGGGAGCTTGGTTCACAATCACATGCTAACCGACCTATTGCTTAATTCACTAAACTTGGAATTATGACAGGTGGTTGTTAAGTAGGTTTTGGTCGCATGGGTATTGATCTTGTTTCTCTGTTGAGTTATACTAGTGACTTTACTACATTCATGAAACAGTCAATGGTATCAAAATCACAAATTCATACCAGTAGTTTAAATGTTCTTCGCAACTTCCTTTACACTAGCAATGGAAGAAGCAACAAATAAAAACCCATGAGTCCGTGGTGCAACTGTTGTTAATTTCATACAAACAGTTCGAATTTCTCCATTTCATCCTCTGAGATTTATTTCATACTATCAACGAGGAATCATCTATTCGTCTTCGTAACTAGAGGTGGAATTCAGAACGCACGTTTCGTTTTATTAGAGACTCGTCAGCTGAAGGTACCTCCACACCTGTGAGCGTTGTTCTTACTGAGACTAGGACACAGTACCCAACGCTTCAAATGCCGAAGCGTTACTCACCACGCCAGTGGGACATGGAAGCGACCTCGTGTGTGACGGGTATCAATTTTCACTTTGGTACTTGTAACTTCCCGTTGCTATACTGAATCACCCAGCTATTACAGTATAAAAAATGTCCTCTAGTTTACTAAATACATCAAAATGACATACAAAAACATTTTTAAGTGCTGCCCCTTGTGCCTCACAAACTACTTTACAACATTTACCTTTAATTCAACACTCTTGAGAATCGATTACTGTCGACCGACGCAGAATTTCAGTAGCTACCGAAATGTTGGAACATAGCTATCTGAATTTCTGTGGTCCATGGTGATGTCATCAGTCTATGATAAGAAGTCTCTTCAAATCATTTCCTTTTCTATAACTATTAACACTTCTGATGTTCGAACTCTCCCACTGTTGGCTGGTTTGGTTTGAATTGGTTGGCCTTTTTTGAAATATGGGCTCCTACGCAAATGTACTGATATAACTGCTGATTTCATTTTGATATCAAGGTTCCACAGTGGCTAGCAGTGGAACCCAGGATGCGTGTTTCGTCCTACCTGGGACTCATCATATGGGTGTAACGGGATCCTGTTAAACAAGGAGCAGCGATTGTAACTCAGTCGTCTCTTGCATAACAATCCCAAGTCTGAAGCAATAGATTTTGGATTTTAGTTTCGATAAGAAAACTGTTATTCATTGGGTTGCAGGCACAAACCCGTGTATTTCATTGATGGCCGCTATTCAGTCCTGATTGCTAATAACTTTTTCGGTCAACATGAAACATGCTGTTGTTTATTGTTGTCACATTCTCAAGATTACAACTATCCAAATAAGCAATCGACACCTCACACTTTTAAACATTAGTCTCTTTTATATATTTGGTTAGAAACAATTAGAAGACGCAGTTTGTCCGAGAAGTATTTAACTTTAAGCCATACATTTTAAACAATTTTATACCACTTATGCTTTTCAAAACATTTTATGTAAGAAATGGAAATAGAAAAGGAAAAACTATGACAACAAGA